GGCGATGGCCCTCGAGGACGAGGAGGAGCGGCAGCGCGCGATCAAGGCGGGGTGTTTTGTTCACACCGCCGCCCAGTACGGGGACCCGACGGACTACGAGGACAACGAGGCGGTGGCGCAGGTGAGCGAGTTTGCGCAGCTCGAGCGCGGTTTGCTCGACAGCGCGACGACGACGGGCTACACCGATCCGAACGACATCCAAATGCACCACCTCACCGCCCGCGCCGTAGTCGACACGCTGCGCGAGGGCGGCTACGGCGCTGCGGTGCAGTACTTCCTAAAGCGGCTGTACAGGACGCCCCGCGCGGCGCAGGGTGTGAAGGGCGCGAAGGTGGGTGCCCCCGCAACGGACACCGTTCAAATGCATGTCTACGGCTGCGGTATGGTCGAGGAGAGCGTGGACCACCTGCGCGAGCTTGTGGAGACCCTTTACCGGCTCATCCACGAGCGGAACCGATCGACGGTGAACGAGGACATCCATCGCTACCAACTCCTGCACGACGCGGTGAACAAGGACCAGGCCGGCACGGCGGACGTGCAGGTGCTGAACCAGCGCTTCCTCGACGTGAAGGCGGCACGGAAGCGCGAGGTGGCCGAGCTGGACAACGAGATCCAGCAGTTAGAGGGCGAGCTGCAGTACGTGCGGCAGGCCGCCGATGTCGAGCTGGAGGCCCTCCAACGCGTGCAGGAAACAATCCAAAACGATCACCGGTGCACCCTGAGGCAGCAGCTGGAGGCGCACCGCACTGCCGCGGAGACGGTGGCCCGCAACCTGCTGCAGGCGCAGGCGAAGAACCTCGACGAGCTGAACGTCCTCCGCTCGCAGCGCACAAAGCGGGAGGCGGCGGTGAGCGGGGCCATCGCCGACTACGACGCCCAAACGGCACAGCTGGAGGCGGCGGTGCGGCAGTTCAACCACGAGGCCGAGGAGGACACGGAGCGCATCGTCCGGCTGGAGGCGGAGGTGCAAAGTTTGCAAAAGCAGAAGGACGAGTTTGCGTGGGAGCTGAAGGTGGCGGAGCAGCGACAGGAACACGCGAGTGTCATCCGGCAGCGCCAGGAGCAGGACGCTCGGGTGATTCAGGCGTACTATCGGGCCTTCCGCGCCCGACAGCTGGCGCAGCAGGCGCTGGAGAAAGGGAGCAAGAAGAGCAAGAAGAAGGGCGGCGCGAAGAAGAAGTAAGGCAGCTCCGCTGTTCCTCTCGCCTTTCGAGCCGACAACAGCGGCGGCCAGCGTTGACCTCATCCCCCCTCCCTTCCCGATTTTTGTATTTTGGCGTCTGACGCGCCTCAGGTTCCGTCTGGCCCGCGGAAAGCGTCCTCCGAGGCTAAAATGGTTGGTGTGCACGTCGGCATGCGACGGCCCCACTGCTCGTTCCAGCGGGGTTTTATTTTGATGTACATTACTTTCTGTTTTGAAAGAGAAGTCTTCTTCTCTGTGTTTCTGTTCCGATGTTTACTGAGCTTTTATGCGCGCGCGCGCGCACGCACAGAGAGTGCCGTGATCCTGCATGTGCAAGCGGTCGTACTTTGTCTTCTTATGCTTCTCAAAAGAGGAACTTCTTAGTTTGCTGACGCAGTCGGCACTCCGCTCCGAGTTTGTCGGCTTTGCTGATGCACCTGCCCCGCTGTGGCACCCCCCCCCCCGCCCCCACGCAAGAACAAAAAAAACATTGGATGTGTGTTGGGAGGTTGCGGTTTGCGCTGCCGCAAGTCTACTTTGGTGGTTTCTCTTCTGGCTTGACAGCCGCTACGGTCGGAGCTTCGGGGAAGGACAACACGCGACACGTCGATGGATATTACTTCTCCTCTACCACTTCGCCTCGTCGACCTCCGGCTCTCTTCTGCCTCCTTTCTTGCTCACAGCATTCAACCTGTGAAACCCATCTTACTTCTTTTATTTTCCTTTTCTTCTGATTATCGAAGGCGCACACAGAGCTCATGGCGGCCCCCGCTCGCACCACCGCCGCCTCCCCCGCGCAGCTCGGTGAGGCGGCCTTCGACAGCAACGTGAAAGTCAGCGCTGAGTTCTTTGCGCTCACCTACGGCGCCCTCGTCCAGCAAATGGCGGAAGAGCTCTCGCAGGAGGACGATGTGGAACTGGTGAATCAACAGCTCTATAACATGGGGCACCGCATCGGGGCTCGCCTGATTGAGGAGTACAGCGTGCGCAGCGGGGCGGCGCCGTGCCGCAGCTTCACGCAAGCCGCGGAGGGCGTCGCGCTTGTGGGGCTGCGCATGTTCTTAGGCGTGAGTGCGGAGCTGACGCAGGTGAAGGACTCGGCGGACACCTTTGCCATCAGCTTCCACGACAACCCACTCGCGCTGTTTGTAGAGTTGCCGGACGGCACGCTGAAGGAGCACCTGTGGTACTCGAATCTGCTGTGCGGGGTCATCACCGGCGCGCTGAGCTTAGTCGGCTTCCAGGCCGAGGCCCGGTTCTCGCGGGACAAGCTGCGCGGTGATGCGAAGAACGAGATTGTCCTGCACTTTAAGGGCCGCGAGCGGGAGACCTTTCAGGTGGAGCGCAGCTGAGCGGCGCCTCGGGTGGCACGTCCCTGCTGCCTCGTTGTCTCCCTCTCTCCCTGTCCGAGAACAGACACCACTGTCAGGCAGGGGAGTTGTGTGTGTGTTATTGCTTATGTGTTGTGCCGCTTGTGTTTGTCTGTCTGTCTGTGTGTGTGTGTGTGTACAGTTCGGAGAGATGTTCGGGAACTTCTGTGTAACGCATCTCGCCGCTCCGTCCTTTCCTTTTCCTTCTCTGTTGCGCTTCTTCGAAGACGATCGCAGGGCTCTCTACTCGACCAAGAAGCCGTGTTTGCCGTCGCTTTCCTCACGGTGTAAAGGGCCCTCCCCTCCCAAACCACAACACGTGGTTTAACAACAACAAAAAGAAAATGGTATCGTTCATCGGCAAATTTCTGCTTTCACTGAGGGAGAGAAAACAGCGTAAACGCAGCAGCAGCAACAACGGAAACCACTTAAGAAAAGAAGAGAAAAAGGAGTAACAGCTCCGAGGGGCAACCGAGACCGCCTGCCCTGGGGGGGGGTCGTTCTCCGGCTTGTGTGTTCCAGGGGACCTCCTTGCAATGTGTTTTCTCGAATTACTTCTGTGTGTGTGTGTGTGTAGGCGCCTCTTCGTATGCGCGACAGGCTCTCCCTCTACTTTTTCATTCGTCTCTTCACCGTCTTCTTGAGCCTTTCGAAATCGATTGGTGCGTTCTGCTGCTCCACTGAAGTGCCTGCCGTCACGTACATCGGGTGAGAAGGAGAAGGGACACGTATCTCTCCTCCTTTGTTTTCTTCGCAAGACTCCCACTTCATTTTTATTCTTAGGTGTCTGTCTGTGTGTGTGTGTGTGTGTGTGTTTATTCGATGGAGTACGCGCAGAAGTCGGCACGTCTGCCGCGCAGCGCCGCCGAGAAGGAGCGTTGGAAGCGCGTCATCGTCATCTTGGAACACTGCCCGCTGCAGACGATCCAGACCGACCGCGGCTTTGAGCTGCTCAGCGACCGTCATCGCTCGTACCACGCACGCCACAACCAGGACCCTGCGGACTGGCGTCCCGATGTGGTGCATCAGTGCCTCCTGCACCTGCAGGACTCCGCGCTGAACCGCGCCGGCATGTTAGAGGTGTACCTCCACACCAAGAAGCAAGTGTGCATCGCCGTCGACCCCCGCCTGCGCGTGCCGCGCAACATCCGCCTGTTTGAAAAGATGATGGTCTCGGTCCTCTTCAAGTTAAAGGTACGCGCCAGCACCGGCTACCTGTCTCTGCTGCGCGTTGTAGGCAACCCCATCACGGACCACATCCCCGCCGGCACCCGCCTCTACCGCGTGGAGAAGGACGGCGACCTCGTTGACCCCTTCACGTTCTGCGCCGCCTGCGGGTACGCCGCGGACGCCGCGGAGGAGCACAAGACGGACCGTGCGATTAGCCTGGCGAGGCGGCGGCTTACCTCCAGCACGAGTGGCGCACTGACCGACACGGCCGCCGAGGCGGGGACGGTGGAGTTCGCCAAGGTGCAGCGCCAGGCCGCCGAGCGTCGCCAGTTTCAGCCGTTTGCCTTCATCATCGGTGGCATGTCGCGCGGCGACGTCACGGTGGACTACGCCCGGCCCGGCGAGGTGTCGAGCATTCGGATCGGCGACCGCGGTATGTCCGCCGCGGCGGTTATTAGCGTCCTGTTGCACGGCTTTGAGGAGGATTGGCTGCGCGAGGACAACGAGGCGTCGTGAAGAGAGCGGCAACGAAGGTCTGTCATTCATTGCGGGTTTTTTCCACCCCCCTTTTTTTAATGCGAGGAGCTCCGCACCACCTAATTGTTTTCTTTAAAGAAGTAAGTCGATTAACGAAGCTTTTCTTTTGTGTGTGGTTTCTTTGGTTGCCGTGCGTATAGTGCCTCTTTTCCATCCCATCTCGTGCGGGGCGGAGTACTTTGCTCCGGACCATGGAGCAAGCTCCTTGGTGAAAACCACGACAGTTAAATAAAAGCACGAATTGACGCTCGCGCACGTGACGGGCGAACGCTGTTAGCACTGCGACGCTGTTATCGCTCCCCACGTGCCGGTGTCGAGTGAGCTTGATAAAGGATCTGCTGCTGGCTCCCACATCCGCTTCTACACGACTGCTCTGCGGTAGAGGTGAAGAGTCGTAAGTGGGGATCCGTATTCGCTGCTGAAACGGCAGTGCTTTTTCTTTTCTCTTTTCCTTTTTTTTGGTATTTCGCAACCAGTGGAAGGGACACGGTTCTTTGCAACGGTGCATGCTCTTCTCTTCTCGTGCTTCATGCGAACGGTCCCCCGTGCGTCTCTCGACTCCACCTCTCGCCCTCTGCTTTTACCCCCACGCTTTATGCACTGGGTCTCACCTTGCCTTTTCCTCCACCGTTACCACGAATGAGATTGCCGACACCCGAGCAATAACAACCCACGGAAACACCAAACAGCAGCGCATTTTTGATGGGCAGCTGTTGGGTGCACAGACCACACGCCCCATTTATGTATGCATTTTATTTCTGGTTAATTGTTTTATTCTCCTCTCACCACTGTAATTCAGCAGATCATCCCTTAGCGGTCACGACTTCGCTCTCCTACACGGATTACCTCATCCTCAAGCGAGAAGGCTACGAAGAAGAGAGCTGAGGAGCCTAGAGAAGTGTATGTGGGGTGTGTTTCCTTTTTTTTTTTGAAAGAACATCAAACAGACAACAAATAGTAAATAATAGTAATCTATCAAGACAACAAAGAAAAGCCTCGTTCACCATTTCAGCACACCTCGACACGAAGGCGCCACACATAGATTCTCAAATACATATTATTACTACTACCTTTTTTTTTCCCCAGTCTATTATCAAGGTGACGCCAGTGTTGTTTGCCAACGAAGAGGGCGAGGAATTAAAGACCACATTTGCCTTCATCTTCCGACGTATATCAACAGAAGCGAAATCAGCAGGTCCTTGCTTGTAACCGTTGGTGTCCCAAAAGCGGCAGGTCTGTTTGATCCCACCGCACTGTGGTTGTCATCGTTATCCTGGGGCAAGTACGTTTCGCGGCCCGGAATAGCACCTCACAAGGGGGTTCGTAGTACCGCCTTCACCTTTCGCCGTGTCCCCTACCCCCTTTTCCCGTTGCCTTTTCGTTTCTCCTGTCGTTGATTGCTTTCTTTCTTTCCCTTCTCCCCTGGGCGCCCTCTACACACCCCGACGACGCGGCTGAGCGCAGCACGAAAAGGCGGTGAAGAGCACAAAAACAGGACTCGCTCCTCCCTTCTCCTCTTATTAGAAAAGGTCATTGTTTTCCTGCTCGCTTTTTTTTTCAGGTCGTTTGTCTGTAGTCGCTGGACACCTGGTAAACTCGCTTCGCCTCTCGCCCCACACGTTGCTTCAGACACAGCAGCTCAAGTTCGTATCTGCAGCAAGAGGGGAGAGAGTGAGAAAAGCGACGATCAGCAAAGCGCTGCGTTGAGGTGCGCAATCCCTCTTTCCGGTTGTTTTCGGTTCTTGTCGTTGGCGTTATAACTGTCGTTTTTTTGGCTTCACGAAGCCGCCTTCTTTGCCTTTGGTGTTTTCGTAATCTTTTTCTTTCTTTTTCTTTTAGCCGACCAGTTCAGCGTTGCGAATTTATTTTCCTCACAAATCCGCTTCTCCTCTCCTTTGTTTGTTCCTTAACCGCATGTACTCCTCCTGATTTTCCTTTTCGTCTGCTTTCACGCTCTATAGTGACCTCTCTGCCCATCTATATGCTTCGCCGCACTCACCGTTGTGTTGCTCTCTTCTCTACTCGCTTTGCCTGTGTTACTCCGCGCTGCTCCCCCTCCCTCCCTCCCCCGCTCGTCTTCTCTCTCTTGTGGACGAAGAAGTGGGAATACGCTCTGCAGACTCTTCCTCCTCTTTCTGTTTTCCCGCAGTGGCACTGTGGGATTTTTTTCTTTTCTTTCTTCGTTCTATTGTCGCGGGTACGCACACATCTCAATCGACGGCGGGGAATAATAGAAGAAAACGAAGGAGCTGAAGTACGGTGCGCAGTTAGCTGAAACGCCTTTGTTATTAGTAGTCTTCCTTCATCTCTTTCTCGTTTCTATTTCGGTTGTTGTTGTGCTTCGTTGTCGACGAGCGGTTTCTCGCACGTCCTCTTACTTCGCTTCGGTTCCTCATTCGCTCTCTTCACTTCACTTTCCCTTTCCTTGGCAAGGTGGCGCATCTTCTGTGGATAGAGTAGTACAAGTGTATATGTATCTGCACGCATCTGTTAACGGTTTTTGGAAAAAAAGACAAAGAGATCAACTCGTTTCCTATTTTTGGACGAAAAGGATTTTTTTTCTCACCTTCTCCGAGATTACTCCATCGCGCGCGGTCGCTGCGCTTCTTCTACCTTTCCCTCGCTCTCCTTCATTTTATCTTTGCTGCTCCCTTGGTCGCCTTCTCTGAAGAAAATTAAAAAACCTTTGTCCAGTGTTTGTTGTTGTTGTTGTTGTTGGGTGACGACTGTTGTCTTTGAGCCAACGAAAGCGGTGAAAGAAAAAACCCTGTTGTTGTGTTCTTCACAGGCGTTTAGCTCGCCATTTTTCCCTTTTTTCTTTTAGTGCTGCCAAATAGAGCGAACGTCTGGTGTTTCCGCTGTTGTCACTCTCGCGGTCTCGCTCCGGTTGTCGCGTTGTCTGCCTTTTGCGTGTTCGTGTCTCCCCATTTTCCTCCTCCGTTCCCCGCGTGAGAGGCTCCGTGTATATAGTTTATTTATCTGCCATGTTCAGTAGCACCCTTGACCTGCCCGTACCGGTGGTCGTGCGTCCCATCGCCATGCTAGGCGGCGGCGCCGTCGGCTCCCGGGACGGTCTCGGCCCCAACAGCAGCCCCAACAGCGGCCACAACAGCGGCCACCATCTACGCAGCCCCTACCCGCAGCGTACCGCCACCTCCACGAGTAATGGCGCGGCGGCGACTTCTTCGAACGCCGCCGTCTCGTCCACCGGCAAGAGCAACGGCTCCGCCTCGTCGCCGCCGGCCGCCTCATCGAATGGACCGGGCAGCAGCGTCGCGACGAGGGCGACCACGCCGACCACCGCCGCGGAGGAGAGCGCCGCGCAGCTGAGTCGGCCGACGATCCTCATCTTCACGGAGTTGGAGGACGAGGAGGACGAAGGCGTTAACGCGGCCCGGCGGTGGATGCACAACGCACACGACCAGCCGACAACACCGTCGCAATCAAACCCTTCCACGGTGTATCGAGACCCGACGAGTGGCGCCACGGGCGAGGTGGTCGATCTCGGCTCCCGTCCCTCCACCGCCGTCGCGCACACGGAGGAGACTCTCTCCCCGCTGCTCTGCCGCTCCATTGGCAAACCCGCGAACAGCGAAGACGCGGGCACGTCCGTCTCGTCGTTTGATCGCACGGCGGCCGGGGCGAGAGGCCACCCAACCCCGGAGCGCACCCCCAATCGCTCCCCACCGCCGGGCCCCTACGGACACGCTGCCGCGTCGACGTCGTCGAACGGGGTCGCGAGCTCGACGACGTCAAACGCCACCGGACAGCAGCTGGGCACCGCCACGCCGTCCGACCAGGAGGCGCTGCCGTCGCACCCGATGCGGGTCTCCGCGACGCCGGTCGTGCCCATCGTCCCGCACGTGGCGGAGCCGTCGTGCCGGCGGCGCGTCGCGGAGGACTTGGAGCGGCTTTACGGGCCGAACAGTCGGCAGCCCGCCTCCACCGACGCGGCAGGCGCACCGTCGCCGTCTGAGCCAGCCAACGGGGCAGTGGGCCGTCTCACCATATCCACCACCGTGATGCCGACCGCACTCAGCGGCGACGTGGCCGCGCTGAGCTACGCCGAGGATCCCGAGACGAAGACGCCGCTGCTGCCGTCGGGAACGCCAAAGAAGAAGAGGAGCGCGCTGTCCTTTCTCAACACCGCGTCCACGTCGAAGAAGGCGGCGAAGGCGGCCGCGGCGGACTCAAAGAAGAAAGCCACACCGCCAACCGCAGCGGAGCGGCGGCAAGCACGCGAGCAGGTGATCCGCGTCGGGGTGCAGCGCCTATTCCAGCGGCTGAACGAGTTGCATCTCGTCGCCTACCACGTCAAAAACGACGGCAACTGCCAATTCCGCGCCATCTCGCATCAGCTCTTCGGTGACGAGGGCTACCACGACATTGTTCGATGCCAGGTCGTCTCATACATGCGCGCGGCACGGGTGGAGTGCTTCGACTTCTACTTTGAATCGCCCGCGCAGGCCGACGCGTACTACGACAACCTGGCCAAGCCGGGCTCGTGGGGGGATGAGCTGTCCCTGCGCGCGGCGAGCGACTGCCTCTACGTGAACATCCACGTCCTGTCCTCCGAGGAGCGCAACTGCTACATCACGTACCGCCCCTCCATCGACCACGCCGCCTCCGCCCCATCCTTTCTCATCGACGTGGCCAAGCTGAGGGAGCGGCGCAAAGCGGTCCGGCAGCTGCTCCGCTCGCACGGCCTGCACAGCGGCGCTTCATTCGCCGCATCGAGCTTCGACCCGGCCGGGCAGGGCTTCGGTACCGCGTCGACGATGCCCGATACGTACGGCCGCGGCCGCTTCGGTAGCGAGCCCACGCTGACCAACGCCACCGCCGGCGGAGGCGCGTCGTCCTTGACGCCCGGTGGCGGCAGTGGGGCAGCACGGTTCAGCGCGCAACCACCGCCACAGCAGCAGCAGCAGCAGCAGCAATCGTTGTTTCCGCCGACCTCGCAGCCCATCAGCCGCGAGTCGAGTGGGCATCTCATCGACGACGACGCGGACGCGGACGAGAACGCAGAGATGGACGCCAACGCCATTCAGCTCGCCCTGCACAAGAAGCTACAGCATTCGGAGATCCGCTGCAGCCTTCCGGCGGGGTCGACGACCACCTCGTGCTCCTTCGGACCGCCTGTGGCCGGTCACGGCGCCGCGCCCGCCTCGATGCCGCTGCTGCAGCCGCAGCTGCTTATGCCGGCCAGACCCGCCGCCCCGCCCTCGCTGCTGCAGCCGGTGCGGCCCCCGGTGCCGCTGCCGTGGCTCGTGAGCTGCAACGAGGATGCCGCCCAGGTCAGCAAGGAGAGTCAAGTGGAGCGCTTCCGTGCGGTGGGGGCCGAGGTGCAGCCCCTCGACGACGCCACGCAGGCCGTCAACATCTTTACCCAGCGCATGGAGAATATGCCGGTGAGTGCGGGGGAAGGCGCCAACGGCCGCAGTGGCGCGACGGACGATTACGTGCGGGTGCAGCAGACGCGCAGCGGGGTGAAAACTGCAACAACGACGCCCCCGACGACGCTGCTGCAGCCACAGATGTCGAGCAGCGCCGGCGTCGCATCCAATCGACCGGGGCCGCTGCTGTCGACGGCGTCCTCCGTGCCGTGCATGTCTCTGCAGCCCACTCCCCCACCACCACCACTCGAGGAGCACGCCGAGATGCTACTGCTCGCCTCCAATGTGCACCGCGGCCGCACGAACCAGTCGCTTCAGCAGAGCTTTTCCTCCATACAGACGGCGAACTCCTTCGGCGGGTACAACGGTGGAGGCGCCAGCACGTGCATGGATCCCTTCAACGCGCGTTCAACGCAGGGCAGCTTCACGAACAGCGCCGCGGACAACTCCAGCTACGACGCCAGCGCTGCGCCGGTGAGCATATTCAAGTTCGAGCCCCGCACGGAGCCGATCGATATCTTTCTCTCCTACCTCTACCCCGTCCACTACAACTCGTTGAGCGTCTCCCCGCAGCAACAGCAGCAGCCGCGGTCGGCGATGTCGCCGGAGCCCTTGAGCAGCACCGCCCGGCCGCATTCAGCGCGCACGGAGGACACCGCCAACCCCAAGCCGAGCCGCGGCGCGTACCCGAAGCTGTTCTCTTCCAGCATCGGTGGAAGCGCCACCGCAGCCGGATACCAAGCATTGTGAGAACCTTCATATATAGAGAGAGAGAGGATGGAATAACTCGCCAAAATCAAAAATAGGAAGGGGAGATCAAAGAGGCGGAAAAGGGTGAAACGAGAAGGTATGTATGGCGCAGCTGACGAGGCTTTCATGATTCGCTCCCACACGATGTGGCACGTGAAAGAAGGCAGTGCACTTGATTTTAGTTTATCTGTTTCGCTGTTCTGTTCTGTTTTTTTTTTTCACCCCTCCCAAGTGAACCTCCATTGTCTTTGATACCTTGTTGTGGACGTGAAAGTCAGATGGTGCCTCTTTCACTCCGTGAAGCAATCGTGGTGTTGCCGCTGTTTTCTTAAGCACGTTACTTTTCTTTCTCAGTCTTTCATGTTTCAATTCTTCTATTATTATTGTTGAGTATTCCGAATTGCGAGGAGTTCGATGGTTGACCGTTTTTATGTTCCTCTTCTCGTTCTGTTTCTTTCCCCCGCTGAATTCGAAATGAACCCGTAAAGAACGGAGGGCAGGTCAGGCAAACGCTGCTCCAGACGAGCCATCCATGGCGTACCGAGTCTTTTCGATGGCTGCTGCTTCGCTCAACGAACGCTATGCATGCACACATAACTGCTGCCTACTGCCTTTTCTCGGTGTGCGGCAGGGTGACAGAAGAGAGGAGCAGCAATGGATGTTCCGTGCGATGTGTTTTTGCTGCTGTCTTGGCCTTGGTTGAAGTTGCATCTTGTGCTCACGCGTGTGTGAGAGCGCCGTGCGGCGTGCCAGAGACGTGGCGCAGCAACTTCTCCCTTCGCGTTCGTGCTCCGTGCGCAAAATCTTCTAAGTTCGGTTTTTTGTCTCTTTCTCTGGTGGCGGACGTGGTGCATTCTCACCTCACTACCTGTGAACGTGTTCACCTGAGCGATAAAGCGAAGTCTTTCAAAGTCGTTGGTTGGTGTGCACGCCGATTCGATCACCACCAGATCAAAAAGAAAGGCGGCTACTGCTCCTTCGCTCAGGTTTTTTTTCCTTTGAGCATCATCATTATCGCCTTATCGACTACTTCATTCATTGACCGCACCAATGGGCCAAGCAAAGACGAAGCTAAACATCATCGTCTGCGGGCTGGACAACAGCGGCAAGACGACCATCATCAATTACATGAAGCCGGAGGACCAGCGCACGGAGAACATCGCGGCCACGGTGGGCTACAACGTCGATAAGTTCAAAAAGGGCAAGATCGAGTTCACCGCCTTTGACATGGGCGGTGCCCAGAAGTTCCGCGGACTGTGGGAGAGCTACTACAGCAACATCGACGGGGTTGTCTTCGTGGTGGACAGCACCGATCACCTGCGTTTGTGTGTCGTGAAGGATGAGCTACAGCTGATGCTCCACCACGCAGACCTGAAAAACACAGCGGTGCCTTTCTTGTTCTTTGCGAATAAGATGGACCTGCCAGGGGCAAAGACGCCGATGGAGCTGACGCAGATCGTTGAACTGAATAGCATCATGGGCGACCACCCGATGAACATCTTCGCGTCCAACGCCCTGAAAGGGGAAGGCATCGACGACGGCCTCCAGTGGCTCCAGTCCGCGATGCTGCGGCAGAGAGAGCAGTCCAAGAAGAAGTGAGAAGAGACCCACAGGGAAAAGAAACCCAACACAGCTGGAACGACACGGCAGCACCCGTGTGTGTGTGGCGTGTGTGTGTATGTCTCGTCCTATTCCTCGACAGAGTTCGCTCCGCGCGTGTCGCCTCAAGGGAGTCAGAGGAGGAGAGAGAGAGAGCGTTCTACAACACGAGAGAACGTTGATCGATTGTCGTGTACTTTCCGTAGCTCAATTTGCTGATTACATCGTTCGTCTTCTTTTTTTTTACTTCCCTTCCACAACCGTTTTTGTTTGTTTGTGTATGTAGAGAGCTGTGAAGAGTACGGTTTTGAGTCTTCATCTGCGTAGGGGGATGGGGCGGGTGCGTGGCGGATGTCTGAAGGGATCATTGTTTTTTTTTTTTCTTATCTGTGTGTGTCCCACGCGCGGGTGTAAAAGAGATGTAAAGTCTGCGCTCTGGGAAGGGGGTGTTTGTTTGCTTGCTTTGGGCCTCTACTCGATTTTTCTTCTTTTTTTCTT